GCTCCCCAGCCAGTCTGTGCCCACTCGCTGCCTTCAGGCCGGCCCGAGGCACAGACCCCTCTGAGCAGACAGCGCGCAGCCCGCTCCCGCCCCGGCCACAGGCACGTCAGCCTGTCCCAAGCCACCGCACATGCACACACCCACACAGCACATGGCAAGGGCACCAGAAGGCAAGACTCACCCCCTGGATCCAAAATACCCGTCTGTATCCAAGAAGGCTGAACAGTACTGTTTAAAATAGCAGTTCAGGGGCGAGGCAAAGCATTCGAAACTCACTCCAAAGAGCTTGTGGAGGGCTTCAAAGACGTGCACGGGAAGTGCCCCCTGCAGCCCAGTTCCTTCGTACAGACCCACACCGAACATCATCTGAGGAGAGCAAACCCTGGTGAGCCATGCCTGCACCCACTGTTCCTGCCGCTCCCCTCACTGACCACGGACCCAGGGCCACACAGCCACGCACCCGCTCCTCTGGGTACGTGGGGGCCCTCGTCCTGTCTCAAATTCACGCAGGTCCCCTGCGCGTACCCAAGAATTCTCTTTAGATATTTCATCCCACTGTCTATTTTCACATAGATCCCCCAGGAACACTTAGCTGCCCTCAGAGTCAAGAGCTACTGAAGGTTTCTTTCATGAAGATTTATCTTTACCCACCCTGAGGTCTCCCGTCGAGATCACAACTGCTCCCCAGACCGCAGTCCTGTCTCAGAACACCGGGAGCAGACAACGGACCCCCTTTCAGCCCCGTTTTGCACCAGGCTCCCAGAGCTGTGGGCCTCCCCCAGAGCAAAGACAAGTTCAGTTCCCCGCTATCGGGCTTTCTGACGTACAGCTGCGACGCGACAGTACCTGGTATCGGCGGAGAAGGCACCAAACCCTGGGCAGGAACTTTTCAAAGCCAGAGTCATCAATGCAACTGTACCGATAGAGGAGCCACTGGAAGAGAAAGCCCAGCCATTAAACACACAGAATGAGCCAGGAGAGAACACAAACAGACCCTGACACGGGCAGGGATGCTGGCGAACAATGGGAGCAGGAGGGGCTCTGCACGGAGGCTGTTCGTCACCTCTGCTGTCACCCTGCGAGGGAACCACACGCTCTTGGTGAGCGTGAATGCATGAACCCTATCAGCAAGAGTCTCGCCAAGGGCTGCCCTGCTGCATGTGCGACCGTTCTCGAGATCAAACCACACACGCAACACCTTGTGCATATTCCCCTGACCCCGACTGAGGTGACAGCAGCCGTCCTCATTTCTGCTCCCGCCAGGGCAGTCTGCAGCCCCCGCCAGGCCAGACCCCCTCCTCTCGGGGGACGGGAGAAATGACACCTCTCACCAAAGAGCCGGCTGTGGACCAGCGGTCAGCCCTTACCAGCTTGCTGAAGTAGTTGCGGCTCACTTTCACCATCTCGCCCTTGTACCGCACGCACGCCACGTTGTTCTCCATGTGCATTTCCATGGGGAGGGGATGGCCAGTCTCACCGGGTAACAGTACACGAGCCTGTCCTGGACTTCGGGAGCTTCTACCTCCGCTAGGGAGAACACAGAGACAAGCCATTACAACCCAGGCTGTCTGGGACAGACCTTCCTGTCACCTCAGAACACGCAGCGGCAGGAGCAGGGCTAAAGAGCAGACTGGTCACCCCACAACCTCCACGGGGGTCCTTCCCAGGTCTTGTAGGCAGCTACCCAGGTTCAGAGCCGACTCCCCAGGTTAATTCCATCACCCACTGCCAGAGCACAGAAAGGACCCGGCTCACAGCATTCCCCCATCTCTCACACTTCCCTTGGCGTTCCTGTTACTATTTCAGTTTGCCCCAAACTCATTCAAAGCACAATAAATATTCCCAGGCTGTCAAGCGCAGGAGGCAGAGGAATCCTCCTGCCACCTTGTGGTTCCCCACTGCAGACAGCAGCTGAGCCTCGGCTTTCGCATGTTTTTTTTTCGATCAGCGAGAGGGAATCACAGATTCAATGGCGTGGGAAAACAAGCATCAAAAAAAAAAGCAGCAAAAGGCTGTCAGCTGTCCCCAGGAATTCATGAAGTAGCAAGCAGGCAAGGTCCAGGGAAACAAACGAACACCCCGGGCAGTGTGGTCAGCTCCTAACGAGCTACTTAATCCTGACAAATCACACACCTGTGGTATTTGATATTACAGCCCGTGACAGCACCCGACAGAAAGACACCTTGCCCCTGCACGGGCACTGCGCAATGATGTCAGCTAAGACCTGTGCGGGACTGGCTGCTTCCGACTCTATTAAATTCAGCCCCGCGGCCGCAGAGCAGCCCCCCACCAGATACCGCTATTTGAACGGGGACAGGCTGGAGCGCGTTGCCGCCACGCTGCAGCCCTACAGCTCCCCAGAGCTGACTGCGTACCAGATATATTGTTCTCTTTGAGGATGGCAAGATGCTTCTCCCGGATCCGCTTGACGTACTCAAGCGATATGTAGTAAATCTTACTGCAGATGCCTTCGACGGAGTCCTTTGCTGCAGCAGACACATGGGGCCCACATTGTTTGCGTAAGTGCTCCAGGCGGTCCTGTGGAACCAGAGAACCAGAGTCCCTCACACGGCCACCACAGGCTCCCCAGAGGTACGCATGGTCTCTGTGCCACGCTCACTCCCATTTCACAGGGCAGAGGAAAGCAATCGCAGCCTTTTTCCGAAGGACCTTCCTCTGGCCCCCAGCACGGCCCCCATCCCTTCCCGGCACTCCGCTGCACGCGCGGAAGGACACTGACCATGTAGTCCTCTTTAGAGGCAGAATGGTCCCGTCGCAGCCAGCTGAAGGTGTCCTCCACGTTCCACTTCACCACCTTCCTGCTGTCTGGTGAAGCACTCCTGCGTGAAACAGAGAAGCAAAATCTAACCCAGGGCTGCACAGCGATGTGTTCCATCCCAGCACAGCGGGGGCACACAGCTGCCGACACTTCCTCAAGGCTCTATCCTGTCCCTCCCCTCCAGGCCTCCTCTGGAAAGTGCTTCCAGACATTTGTATGACTGGGGACCACCACGCTCTCTCCAAAATGCTGTGTCTGCTGTCCTCTGCAACAGGAGAGGCAGATGAAGCATTTGTCCATCATGGAAACAGTCCGTTCTGATCTTGCCTCTCATTTGCAAACACAGCCACTGCTAGGAGCCCGCAGCTCTGAGAAACCCCCCCTTCACAAGCTTTTTCCTTTCCTCACAAGGGTATCCTCCTCAATTCTGTCCTCTGGCAGAACTTGTCAGAAAAATCATACACGGTATAACATACCACTCTCAGCTTGTCACTCTGTAACAGTAGCAAGTGCTTGAGCGTCCTGATATTACCCCAGGGATAAATGGCAGAAGGCGTTCCGTGTCCAGCATTTCACAGATTCTCACTTGTCCCTGCATACGTTCAGCTTCCCAACATCAGATTTTACTCTAACACTACTACCAAAAGATGCCTCCAGCTTTTTTTTTCTGTAGGTCCATAATCTCGCTCTTCCTCAGTAAAATGCTGCCCGATCCTGAATAAGGCTCCCACACCAGGGGAGCCCCTTTTGACAGTCCCCGTAACCTTTCCTCTTTTCTGAATGTGACAGCACTGTCAGAGGAGCCCCCACCTGGATTCAATCAGCCGTTTCGCAGCCTCAGCGTACTTGAAGAGCAGTCTCTTGGCTTCCTCGCGGAACTTGATTCTGGATAACCTGGGCCACGAATAAATTCACATGCATCAGTTCCACAGCTGCCACAAAGGCATGGCGGCCACATCCAGCTCCCAAGCTCTACACCAGCACCCTACCACCTCATCAGCGACAGTAACACACCAAAGCACAGAACCGTGGCCGGTAAATCGCTGGACCAGCCCCAGGCAAAACCACCCCAACAAGGGGCCCTGCTTTGAACCATACCTGATGGGAATGTCATTCATGATCTCTCTGAACATGGAAGGAGACACTACTGGCTCGCAGTCACTCGGTAAAAGAGGATCTGTGCCTTTGTCAACCACCTTCCTCTCCAACATCCAGCGATTAAAGGACTCCCTTGGGGGGTCAATCCCTGGAGAAGCACAGAAAAAGGGTCCAATCAATACAAGAAAGAGATGCCCAGAAGCTCTGACAAAGATCATCACTCATCATTCTGCTTAATGAGTTCAGAACCAAACAAGCTTACAAACTCGCTGTTTACAAGCAATGTCACAGAGACTACAGCCATCACAGAAAGAGCAGATCCCAGGGACCAGGCAGCCGTCAGCCAGAAGGAAGAACACCACAGTGCTGCAGGACTGATAAGACAAATCAGGTGAGCCCAACAGAAATTTACCTTCTCGCTGTTGGCAGAGCTCACGATAATGCTGCCGCAGCTTGAGAATGAGCTGGGATCGAAGCAGTTCCACCTCGGGGTGTGGAGAAAGCACTTCAGATGGTGCTCTCTGCTTAATCACCGCATTTGTCTGAATATCCAGGTCCCAATATACTCTATGGCAGAAGCAAACATCATCACGATGGCCAGATCATTGGCTAATTATCAAATATTACTTCTAAATATGGCTCCTTGGGTTGTTTCACCAGACAGGAAATTGAATTCTCAAGATGCCTTGCAAAGAAACGGGGAGGTGTTACGTCCCCCAGGTTCTTCTTCAAAGACATCTGGAAAACCAGGTGTCTCTAACCTACCACCAAGAAAAGAACAGAAGACAGATGGAGACAACTCACTCAGTTGCTCGTAGAAGAGCTGCCTGCTGTTTGTCTTCAGGTGAAACACACCATGCCTTCAAAACAGAGGTTCCTGGAATACTGGGAGAGCTGGGGACCGGCTGAGCAGCTGGGTTCCCTGGGACGTCCGCCTGGGCACGTAAAAGATTAATTACTGCCCACAGAGAAAAGCAAAGGGGAAGCAGCCCAGTATACCCAACAATCCTGCAGCAGAACACCACTCGGGATACTCCTGTGACTAGCTAGAGTGTGTCTGGCCTGCTGTTGGCCTAAGTGAAGGTGGACACGCAAGCTGCCGCGTTCCTCAGTCATAAGCGGTGATCTCCCAACTCCCCTACTCCACCTCAGGCTGCAAGAGAGAAACAACAGCTTGGCAGGACCTGAGTCTGCTTCGACTTTTGTATTTTCTGAGTGCCAGCTGTCACAGCATCAGTGACACCAGGGTGGCCTGACCCTGCACAGTTCAAAACACACAGGTTGGAGCTCCAGATCCCCCAGGTTTCAGGGTGAACATCATCCTTAAGCCTGTCTGTTTCACAGCACCACACCAAACCCACCTTGGGCTTTTTCACACTGTTGCCGCTCGGTGGAACCTCCTCAGAGAATCTCCTCTTCCTTTGCTTGCTCTCCACAGAGGTATCGATCATCCCACCTTCCAGTGGCAGTGGAGCTGCGTTCAATCCCAGAGGGTCAGACTAGGAGTGTCCAGACAACAACAGCACCCGTTAGCTCCTCAGCTGCCACCACAGAGGCCCAAAGGACGGCACTGACCCCTCCTAACTTCCCATGTCACTGCCTCAGGCTCCCACATGGGTGGAAACAAGGACACCCCTGCTCACACCTGCAAAAAGCTAAAAAATTATCTTCTATTTTATCTGGTTTGTTGGGTTTTTCTTTTTAAGACTTAGATGAGAAAAATGCAACACAACTGCCCTAGGCTGAGTGTTCTTTGAGCAGCTGCACCACAGCTGGAACAGCACTGCCCCAGCCTGTACCTGAAGGAGGAACATTTCAGCAGAACCAAGCCAGACACTGGACTCAGTGAGGAGTTCTGAAGGCAGAGAAGACTCTCCCACATGTCCAATCTCAACTCCACAAGACCACGGCATCTGTCCCTGCAGAATATCCCTGTATTGGCACGACCCCTTGAGATGAGCGCTTACTTACAATGACATCGTGCTGTCCCAGCACGGGCATTTCCCACAGAGACTGGTTTGTGAAGCGATTGAAGTAGTAAGGTCGATTCTCCCGCTTGCTCCAGCACTTCTCCCAGCCAGCCTGCACCAGCTCATCTGAGAAGACACAGAGAGTCAGGGGAGGCGCAGTCCTGAACAGCAGCCCTGCCCTCCAGGTCCCCGTCACTGCCACAGCACTCCCCCCAGCCTCCCTGGCAGCCCCGCTCCACCTCCTCTCCCCGGCAAGCAGGGCCCCGCAGACCCCCGTGCTGGGCAGCGTCCGTACCTGGCAGGTCCTGCACCAGTCGCATGGGTTTGGGGGAGCTGGGCTGGTTCTGGTTGGAGGTGCCAGGTGAGTGACTCATGAGAGATGCTTCCTCCGCAGGGCTTCCGTGATTCTCATTGGCCATTTCTCAGCAACCGCACTAGAAAAAAAATACACACAAAAGGGGTGTTAGAGCAGGAGAGATCCCAGATCCACGTGGCCCGCTCAGCTGCAGCACTACACACTCATTCTGACAATAAAACAGGGTTTGAACCAGGACACACAGAGCAGCACCCACATCCTGAAAAACACCTGCTGCCCCAAGTACACCCAGCTGCGAGGAAGGCTGAGCTTTAAACGGTGTCAGCCAGGGGGTTCCTAAAGCCAGCACTCAAAATACTCACTTTTCAGCTAGATCTCTCCTAAGAGCACAGTGCCTGGTCCCACACATCAGGACCAAGAGCATAAAAATAACACGCGCTCCTCTGTGAACACATGCCACCTTCCGCCCTGCCAACACTACCAGCCGCATCTGACCTGCTATCCTCAGAGACGGTTTAAATCAACACTCACACACATAACTGCACATAATTCAAACAAAAGGCTTTTATTAAAAAGCTGCTGCGACATAAAACAGCCCTAGTGCTTCACTAATAACAACTTCTGTGGCTCAGAGAACCGTAGGCCAGGAGTCAGGAGCTCCTGAACTATTTTCCTCAGCACGTCCCAGCCCCAGGCTGTCTGCAAGGCCTCAGCCAGGCTGCTTTAGCCTCTGGTAATTCTTCATCTTCATCACAACAGTTATGCAAAAAAAAGGTCTGTTGAAACAATAAACCTCATCTTAATCATAATCTAATGTTGCCAGTTGCAGAGGAACAGCCAGGCTTTTCCTCTCTTAGTCACCACTCCTGCCCCCAGGGAAGTTTCTCAAACAGCACCGCAAGCCACTCCTCTCTGGGAGCCCGAAACACCGGCACTGAACTGGGAACACGGCATTTTAAAAAACTGCCATCTACCTCAGCTACTTAACTCTACTCAGGCCTTTGGGGACACCCCACAAGAGCAAAGTCAGGGCTGCGGTGCCACAACCCCGTACACAGACGTGTGTTAACTGCATAGGGCAGCAGCCCCAGCGGCAGGGTCGCTGGTACATCAGCTCCACAGTAACAACTCTGGTTTGGCTTGCACACTCCATTCTTTTGGATTTATCACCCTCGCTCCCCTTCCTGGCCGTAAACACTGTGCTGGCTACTTCAGAAAAGCAGAATGGTGGGAGCCAACAACCACCAGCAATTAGCAGGCACGAGCCAAGCTGTCGATATCACAGGCTGTGGAGTCGGCGTGATGCAGGGCAGGGCTGAGGAACGCTTGACCCTTCCAGCACCCAGGAAGATGTTTCCACCCCTGCAGCCAGGGTAGGCAAGGAGAGGTGTGGGACACGGCAGAAACCCAGAGTTTCGGTCTCTGCTTAGATCTAGGCAGATAACAATAACCAAGCCCAGGGGCAAAAGCCTCTGTTAGACCGCACCGATGCAATCACAGACATTTAATCACCCCAGCAGGTGAGCGCTGCACAGTATTTGTTTGCTCACACTTCCGCCTGAACTCCAACCCTGCTGTGTCCTCTACAGCCCTTCCACTTCAGCTCGCTGCCAGAAAGGTGCCGAGCTTGGCCCAGCCCTCCCAGGGAGACACGGCAGCAGCTCAGACTCACACCGGGGCTGTCAGCACAAGGAAGCACCCCGGCGCCCGAGGAACCCACGGCTGCACGGCCCCAGCCTCGCCGGGCAGGGCTGCGGGTGCAGCGACTTTTGGAGGACGTGTTCACTCCCTGCTCCTTAAACTAAAACATATTTGCACGTGGAGGTGCTGATGTGTCCTTCAGGTTAAACAGACGTTAAAATGAACTGATACATTCTGACGGGACCAGATCTCCCAAAGTGAGCAAACGATGTATTCCCAGAAGTTACAGATTGCACTGGGTATGGAGACCGTCCTTGGCTGGACACCACACACCCACTGCAGCACCTTGCCGGTGTTCTTCACCAGTGACTGCCCAAAACAGCTGTCAGACAGGGTTTGCTGCTTCTGCCTTCTCCCATTTATGGATAAACCAGAATGGGGGAAGTTGAGAAGAAGCTACATCACTGGATCAGTGTTGTGAGTACTACACCCAAATACCCCTAAGGTCTGGGAAAAGGAAAAAAGCAAAACTAACAGGAATCCTGACAGAAGCAACTCTGCTTTTACGCACCAGCATTGGGACTTAGACAGTGAAAGAGTTCCACAGCAAGCATTTTATGGTGATTCCGGCATTGTTTTTATACACTGTGGCAATGCATACAGTACTTGACAGACATCGCAGAACGCTGTCCCTGCCCAGAGAGCTTACAACCTACAAGCAGCAGCACATCCAAGAGAGACCACGGCAAGGCGGAAGGAGACACAAAGCAAAGTACAGCAAATAGGATCATTATTGGTTTCCATTTCACCGAGGCAGAATTTTACACAAGACAACAACGAACGTAGACAAAGGAGAGCAGCGACGGCCCCCGGGGACACAGCCCGGTTCTCCCTCAGCCCAGAGCCACGGCTGCTTCAGGAGGCCAGAAGCCAGGCCCCCGCCTCCTGCCACGGGCACATCTCCCTTCCCGAGAGCAGCCCTGGCGCAGCGGGACAGGGGCTGAGCGGGGCACGGAGCTCACGGGGAGGTGCGCGAGCACACCGGGGACCGAGGGAAAGCATGCTGCCAGGCAGCGCGGGGCAGCTCCCGGGGCTGCCCTCCCGAAGGCGCTGATGGGACGGAGCTCCT